ATCAAGGAGACAAAAACAGGTTTTTATCTTGAAACAGAAAGTAAGACGTCATTTGAGGGCAGGAGAAATGGTGCAGTAAGTAATTGAGCTGCATCGAGAAAAACGGAGCTGTTCCATCTGTCAGGAACTACTAAATCCAGTCACTATTCCCTGTGCGCACAGCTGTTGCATGAGCTCTATTAAAAACCTACTATTAAAAACTAAAGTAAAATAGCAAAAACTACTATAAAAACTGACTGCCATTATTCATATGTGGTGTCTGGTAAAATGAGCTCAGGACAGAGCACAAAATATATTTAAAGGTCCTTTATTATTCTTTGTTATTCTGAACAAATTGAATTCTTAAAAAAAACAATTAAAACCTTACAGTGAAAATGATCCTCTATATGAGTCCATCAACAGTTATAGTGGAGTGGTTTCCTGTTTAAATTAAAATACATAACTCACATTAACTAGCAGAAAACTCATAACCCCCATACTTATTAGATAGAAAATATACACAATACCCACTAACAAATGCACAGCTGAAATGGTGAGAACAGTACTGTATCAAATTACAAGACCAATCTGTCTACTCCCTTTCCTGGAATAAAGCACACGTGTCTAAACCCCACTCAGTTTATATACTGCTCACCTCAGACATTAGTCACACCCTACGCTCAGGTCAGTGTCTACATCAAAGAAACGAAAGCAGCTTTTATCTGGTAACTGAAAGTGAGATGTCACAGACTTCCCTCAAAAGGACCTTGAGTTCAAATTTCAGTGCATATTTGCATCCGGTAACAGAAAGGAAATCTTTTAGACATTTACAGTCGTGGTGAGGAGACATGGCGCAGCAACTGATTCAGCTGGATCAAGAAAAACTGAGCTGTTCCATCTGTCTGGACCTCCTTAAGGATCCAGTCACTATTCCCTGTGGGCACAACTACTGCATGGACTGTATCAGAAAATGCTGGGATGAGAAGGAAGTACAAAGCTGCCCTCTGTGCGGGCAGATTTTCACACCGAAACCTCACCTGGTGAAAAACAGAATGCTTGCTGATTTAGTGGAAGACGTAAAGAAAGCAGGACTTCCAGCTGCTTCGCATGATCATGCCTATGCTGGACCTGGAGATGTGGCCTGTGATTTCTGTTCTGTGAGGAAGCGGAAAGCCTCCAAGTCCTGCCTGGTGTGTATGGCCTCTTATTGTGAGCAGCACCTTCAGCCTCACTACAACGTAGCTCCAATAAAGAAACACAAACTCATCAAAGCCACTTCAAAGCTGCAGGAGAACATCTGCCCTCGCCATGATGAGGTGATGAAGATCTTCTGCCGCACTGATCAGCAGTGTATCTGTTATCTCTGCTTAATGGATGAACACAAAGACCATGTCACAGTGTCAGCTGCAGCAGAAAGAGCTGCGAGGCAGAAAGGGCTTGGAAGAAATCGACAAAAATTTCTTCAAAGAGTTCAGGACAGAGAGAAAGATGTGAAGATGCTTCATGAAAGAGTGGAGGCTATCAATCTTTCTGCTGATAAAGCGTTAATGCAAACTGAGAAGATGTTCAAAGACTTGATCAGTCTTATTCAGAAAAAAAGCTCTGAGGTGAAGCAGAAGATCAGATCCAAGCAAACATTTGAACAGAACAGAGTCAAAGAGCTTCAGGAGAAAATAGAGCAGGAGATCAGAGATCTGAGGAGGAGAAACACTGAACTGCAGCAGCTCTCACTGACAGAGGATCACCTCCATTTTCTGAAAAACTACTCCTCACTGTCACATCTGAGTGCATCTACAAACGTACCCACCTACAACAATCTTACTCTGCAGTACTTTGAGGATGTGACTGCATCTGTGTCACGGACCAGAAATAAAGTGAAGGCTCTTCTCAGTGATGGGTGGCCCCAAACTTCTTTCT